CCGGGCCCGGGGCCCGGGGGGGTCCCCCCCGCTCCCCCTGCCTCTGTCCTGCCCCATCCCTGGTGGTGCTGGGTGCTGGGCCAGCTTCCGAGTCCCTGGGGTTTTTTTCCCCCCTTTCTGTATTTCGCTGTCCCTTCTCAGGTCTCTTCCCAGGAAGAGCAGCTGGGGCAGGTTGCGGGAGGTCTGCCGGCGAGGAAGCAGGCTCTTCCTCCTTCCCCGGTATTTAAGAAACCGCTTCCGCGCTGCCCAGTCCAGGGCCTCTCCGTCCCATTCCCCTTGCGTGGCTGCGGCTGGTGGTCCAAGATCCCGGAGCGGCGCTCCGGCCACCTCCCCGGCCCCACCAGCAGGGAGATGGGTGACAGACCCTGCCCGTACGAAGGGACGATGTCCCCGCGACCTGCCGGGGTTTGGCACGTTTGGGGGATGAGTTTGGGGCTGGTGTTCAGCGGGAGCAGAGGGGTGGGTGATGGCCACTGACGGATGGGAGCCCTCTGCCATGATCCCACTGCAGGCAGCTCGTGGTCCACGGGGCAGACGGCTGCTCCCCACAAGTGGGGCAGACCCCCAGGCACCCATCCCAGCTCTGCACCCCCCGGGGTACCTACTGGGAGCTGCAGGGGAGGGATCCAGTGCAGTGGGCACTCGACACCCGGTGCCAGCCTGCACTGGGACACTGCCTCGGTGGCTGGGGACAAATGTCTTCATGGTCCCCCTGGGGGGGCTGAGCTGGGATCCGTCCCCGTCCCCCTGGGGGGGCTGAGCTGAGATCCGTCCCCATCCCCCTGGGGGCTGAGCTGGGATCCGTCCCCATCCCCCCAGGGGCTGAGCTGGGATCTGTCCCCCCAGAGGCGGAGCTGGGATCCGTCCCCCCAGGGGCTGAGCTGGGATCCGTCCCTCCAGGCTGAGCTGGGATCTTTCCCCATCCCTATGTATCTCAGAGGAGTCGCAGTGCGTTCCCCAGTCGCAGCAGGCGATGGGTGGCCTGGGAGCCTCCGGGTGCTGCCTGAGCACACGGTGGTGCTGCGAGCAGGGCTTGGCTTTGCCGTTTAAACCCCTGGGCACCCAAACCTCCACAGTTCTTCCGTGGCCTCGCCGGGAAGGCAGGATGCCAGGCTTTGCTTTCCAGCCCGGCGCTGGCAAGGCGCTGGCTGGGACCATCCTGTCTCCCCGTCCCAGAGCCGCTGGGCACCTGGGCAGGATGAAGCCCGTCTTATCTCGCCTCGCACCGACAGCCTAGCCCTTGTGTTTGGTCTTTGGTGCCTTGCAGCATCCCTGGCGCCGGCGGCCTGACTTGCAGCTGGTGGGTGCTGGGTGCTTGCGTGCACCCCGGAGAGAGCTGCCGCTGGCAGCAGCAGGAGGCAAAATGGCTGGCGGTGTTGGTTTGGCGCAATGGCCAGCTATTGCCCTGGTGCCTGGCTTATTAATTGCGGGTGCTGGCCACTGCCTGGTGGGCTCATCATCCCCACGATCCAAAACCCTTGCCAAGATTCGGTCACCCTGCTCCCTGGGCTGTCTTGGGGAAGAAGCGGGGCATGGGGTGAAGAAGCTGGACCCCCCCAGCGGTGGGCTTTGCTCAGGGGCCCGGTGCCCTGGACCCATGGGTGTTGGCCTTGGCTGTCTAAAGCCCTCCCTGCTGCCATCCCCGCTTGCTGCCGGCAGCATCGCCAGCTCTGGGAGTCATTTCCCGGCCCATCTGCGGGGCGAGGGCGCGGGGGGCGAGGAGGCGGCGGCAGGAAGCAGGCAGGAGCTGCGGCTTGGGGTGGGACGGGGGCTTCTCTGCTGGGAGCTGTCATCTGGAAGCCATCAGCAGGGCTGGGGGGGGGGGGGCCG